TGATCATGCTGTTGTAGACCACTGAGTCGGCCACCTGAGAAGAACCGGAAGAAAGCTGCAATTGTCTGGCTGGTTCTAATTTGGGAATGAGGGAATGAGGTACCCTATATAATCCCTTAAAGGGTATGTATAGGGCCCTACTTCCCTCATTCCCTACTAAGAACCAGGGGGTTGTAATGATAACCGGTGTAGAAGTACTAGCAGCAAGGAGTTAAAAAGAATACTGGCAAAAACAGTTACAATCATAATTCCTAATAGTCACTACTAGTAGCGTTAATCATCAGAACTATCATATTAAGACAAGGCATCATACTAATAAGGATAACCAATAATCAAGACAGAGAGAGAGAGAGAGGGAGAATAGCCGGAACTCCTCATCATAGGCTTGCCACGGCATGTCACAGCTGAGATCGGTACCTCTCCAGACTCCTGCGCCGTCAACAAAAGTGTGTATGTACTTGTTTATGCTTATGTACATATCTTGAATTACATTCCATATTACACGAATAATACATTATATGCGACTTATTCTAGACAACATAGTATGTTGTGCTTTAAGATACTACAGTATGTTAGAATACACAGTGTCATATCATGCAATAGAACATCAACACCAGGTTTAGTGAAAGCTCAACCGTAAAACCCTAACCCTTAAACCGTTAAACCCTTAAACCCTGAACCCCTAAACCCCTAAACCCTTAAAACCTTAAAACCTTAAACCGTTAACCCCCTAAACCCTGAAAGCCTAAACCCGAAACCCTTCGACTCTAAACCCCTAAACCCCTAAACCCTTAAACCCCTAAACCCCTAATTCGTTAAAACCCTAAACCCCAAACCCTTAAACCCTTAGACTCTTAAAGCCTTAAACCCTTAAATCCTAAACCCTAAACTCCAAGCCCTTACGCCCTTAAACCCTAAACCCTTAAACCCTAAACCCTCAAACTCTTAAACCCTAAACCCTAAAGTTCAGTTCCATGCGAAATCAGCGCAGACGTCACCTCGATGCGGCAGAACCAACGCTCTGCTGACTCCAGGTCCTGTGGCATCCCGGCCAGGCATGTCGTGAAGCTTTAAGGTTTAGGGCTTAATCCGAGCTTCTGCTTAATTGGGGGGGGCCCCCCCCCCCCCCCTCCACAATAAGGAATGCAGGGTTCCGCAATAGTTGGACCATGGCCCTGTATTGATTCTCTATTAAAAACAATAGGCTGCAGATCCCTGAGGTGCTGTAGCTTTGCGTCTCCGCAAGCAAAACAAGAAGCCTGCCGACAGATTTTTGAACCCCCCAAAAAAAATTCCTTTAAATGTGGGGGGTTTGTCCCATACGAAATCCACCCTAATGGAAAGTAGTCTTCCGGCGGGCTTCCGGCCAAAAAAAATTTCTTTAAATGTGGGGGTATTAATTAAACTGATGCTCGGATTAGGGTAGAGGGTTCAGGGTTTAGGGTTTAGGGTTTAGGGTTTAGGGTTTAGGGTTTAGGGCTCTGATGCGAGCATGGGGGCTGCGATAATGGATGCCTAAACCCCCAAAGTATGCAAAGTTGCCCCTTGGACGGGGTTGGGGCCTTTGTTGCAGAAGTTGGTGATAAACCCTAAACCCTACACCCTAAACCCAAAACTTTTAATCCTAAGAACCCTATAGCTACGAGGTCAGCGAGGGTGGGCCCTGGAAACTCAGCCAAGTCACTCCGACTTTGGCGAATGCACCTCGAGACCAGCTTCGATTTGGGCTGCTTGGGGTGCATTCAACACTTCCACTTGGGACGTTCCCCCTTCTACTAACAGCCCTTAGTAGGGATGATAATAGGGGGTACTATAATCCCTATTCAGGACTGTTGGGATAAGGGGGAACATCCCAAGGTTCCACTCGGTGTCTCAGAATGCGTCATACAGTCCAGAGCACAAGCCCCTGGCTTATGACCGCGGTAAATGACACCGTGCACGGCTTGATGCCTCAAGTTCAGGTGGCGGGCACCTCTCCTGACACTTGCGCACCCTCCCTTGTCAGTCCTTGATCTATCATGCGCAGCATCCACTTCTCAGCAGCAACGGCGTCGCGGGTCTGTCGCCAGGTCAGATGCGCAAGCGGCCCATGCCAGGAAGTCATGCGTGGGAACTTGCACACACGCATACATACACAAACACACATATACACACACACACACACACACACACATGCTGTGTGTGTGGGTTTGCGTGCAAGCAAAGAATGCCTTGGCGCACGAGCTGATGAGGATGTTGTACGTAATGCGGTTCGGCTTGATACCGCTTTGAGTCATGACATCCCACCTTAGACCGATGTGCTTCTCATAAACCGCGCATAAGTGGCTAAGAGCAGCGATCTCATCAGCGACGTCCATGCAGAGTGTGGGAGAGCCCACCAAAGCTCGCACAAAAACGAAAGCACTTTGCAACCGCAGGAACCATGACCCCCAAAGTATGCAGACACTGCATTTTAAGTTTGGAAGTTGATGCGTTTGATGTCACTTGCAACACAAAGACATCGTCTGCGCACAAGATGGACATCTGCATACTTGCTGCCCTCCGTGGCTGTTGCTCGAATGTCCCTGACCTACACCCGATGTTGGTAAGCGTTCCTGATTTTGCTACATCGAGAGAACTTTAAAACAGGCTACGGGTTGGTACAGTAACTGTTTGAGTGTCAGGGGGCAGCGGTTCCAAGTTATATCCTTCGCGTTGGTCAGGCGGACCACCCAACAGGGCCAATCTTGGGGGATCAACATGTTGTCTTGGAAACAAAGGGAAGCGGAAAGTGCCAGGGCAATCGGGGTTTAAGAGCGCGGGGAGTAGGTGTCTCTTCGTCGGGTGTCGGTTCGCGTGCTCGCATTTTGTGATATGTGTCGGGGGTTCCTTGTGGTAGCACATTGCGGTTGTGTGGAACGTTATACCAGTAGGTTCAACTGGTTCCAACGGTCTAGAGCTGGATCTCGGCTCTTTCACCTGTCAGCGGTTACCGTCGCGAAGACACGACATGCAGGTGTCGCACTACAAGAAAAACCAAAAACAGTAACAATACTCGTGTCAGTACTACCATTTCGTTACTCACTACTAGCACGAAATGGTAGTACCGACAACAAGGTAGTAAGGATCCATATTGTAACAGAAACCCCACGTGAAACCGCAACATTAGAGCACTGTGCATGTGAAGAAGGACGGCTCAAAGCAGGCTACATGGAGGTTAAGGGTACTCAGGAACCCATGACAAGTGTAGTCATAACCCACACATTCAGACCCCTTAAGTACCCTAATAGGGAGCTTCTCTGCAAACTGGGACCAGTGGTGTGATGAGTTTCTGCGAGCTGCCGAGTGCCCCTGAGAGTCGATCTTACACCTATGCTTGTCACTCAGAACTTGCGAGGGCGAAGATTGCGGTGCTTTGACCGGGTGCGCTGCCATGCCCGAGCTTGCTCCAAGTCACCTCAGGGGCAGCAAAGAATCAGCAGCCTCCTTGGGGGAAAAGGGTTTAGGGTTTAGGGTTTAGGGGTTCCCCTTCCTTCAGCCACAAACCACACAACTTGGTCTCCGGCCATTCTTGATGCTCGAGCCGATCATGCAGTTGAAGGTCACCACCTGCAATTGCTAGGCCGTTGCCTAGCATACCCTTGACAAAGCTGCTTCCCATCAGGGCAAACTGATGCTGAGAAACCGGCGTTAGCTTTGTAGCCTGACTTCTCCATGCGGGTGGCAAACCAACGTGCCGCCTTCCATTGCATCCACCCCGCCCTGCTAAGCCCCAACCAGCGCGCTTCGCCCCGTGATGCCCAATTGGGGACCTCTGGATTGGCGAGTTTTGTCTGGCAGGCATGGATGATCCAGTGGTAGAAGGCCTCAACTCGCGATCTGTGGAAAGCTCGAGTACTCTGCCAACCCGGGTCAGTCCTTCGTCACCAACGGCTTGTTGGCGTCCTGCTGTCAAACAAGTAGCCTACGCCAGACCATTTCCCATAAAAGCCACACACACCCTAAACCCTAAACCCTAAACCCTAAACCCTAAACCCTAGGAAAAGAACCGGGCCTGTTGCAAGAAGGCCTCAACATCCTCCATTTTCCCTTTGGCCACGAGCTCCATGACCTTGGGCTCACGAGAACAAAAGCCACAAGGAACAACTGCTGGAGCCCTGCTTGCTTCTACCTGAACGAAGCAAATCTCAGGAAACGCGGGGTTTGGGGCCGAACGGGAGCTGCAGCTTGCTCCATACCGTCCTGCACACGACGATGAACGATGGCTGGTGCAGGCAACATGCGTCGGAAGTTGATATCCAATTATTCAAGTGTCCTCCTTGGACTGGGTACGAGCACGATCCTTGTCTGCGATGACCGTGCATTTGCTTGAAACAGTTGCCCTACCTTTGACTCGAGGCACTTGAGGCGGCTGCAATGCGGTTTCCGACACGCCTCTGGGGTTGGCGGGCCTGCACCTAGACAGGAGACACAACGGCCCAACTCGCTGCAACTGCACAGCAAAAGCTTGGCTTGTTCTCCATCTGCAGCCAGAAGCCTTCTGGCTCTGGTCAGGTGAAGGTCCTGCGCGCTCGTGGGAGACGTGACCCGAAAAAAGACGAAGGAGGGGCCCGGAGCGAGACAGCTCTGCCAGTCTGAGCAACAGAAGATGTCAGGATATGGGGGGGGGTAGTGCGTTACTTGGAGTTCTCCGAGCAAAAGAAACCTTAGACACATCTCCCGGCTCCGGAAGGGTGCGTCATCGGCGAACCTCCCCGGCTTCCCAATGGAATGACACCGAGGCAAAGGCTCAGATCTCGTAAGAGCCGGGCAGATGTCGCGTTGGAAGGAATGAGGAAGGAATGCAGCTCCACTGTTGCGAAGAACGTCGGAACTCTGTGAGCCAGCAGCCAGCGGCAGAATGTCACGGAGGCTCAAGGTCATCAAGCACCATGCGAGAATTCTCTTGAAGCAAATACCCAGGCATGCCACTGCACATGGCACCCCTGCACGAGCTTCTCACCCCCCCTTCAAGCACGGGCCTTGCGATAGTCAGCAAACTTCGAGACAAGACCTGCTGCTGTCAAAAGCGAGCCTTCTGCCATGTTGGCTTATGACCACCCAAACTGGGGGTTGTCACGTTTTGGGGTGGAGGGCGTCCCTTCTGGGGACCCAACCTACAAGGGAAGAAGAACTATCGAGGTGACCCCAATTTAGAAGCTCCAACGTCGTCTCCGTGCCGCCAGGGCTCGGATCAGCATGCGATCCACCCAGCGAAGCACATCCAAGGGATCCTGGCAAGAGGTCAAAAAGAAAAGATCATCCCACGTACAAAGCCAATTGAGGTGGGCTAGCTTTCATCTGACCGGAAGATTGAGGTCTTCCTTCCAAGAATCCCATATCTCGGATGTGCCGAAGAAGAAAACCGGGGTCATCTTTTCGTGGCACCTCTCTGTCAACGGCCAGCCGCGCCTCGTTCTCGCACTTGAAGACCGCATAGCGGGCCATTAGCACTGCTGCAGCCTCCTGGTCAAAGCCTGCCGGGTGGAGTGGCAGCATGCAACGGCAATCGTAGCCGCAACTAGCATTCGGGAAATCTTTGATCCTTGCTACGGCAGCTCATTCGTTCTCACACGCTGCCTTGCTGGATGTCGCTCATCTGTGCATCTGTGAAGCGATGAGACCTAGGCAAGGCAGGCGCCGCCTCACTCCAGATCAGCCGACTCCGGCTTACGAAGGCTTGTTTGGCCCTCTTAATCGCTGCTTTTGCCCTAAACCCTAAACCCTAAACCCTAAACCCTAAACCCTAAACCCTAAACCCTAAACCCTAAACCCCAAGCCCACGTTGTGAGGGCTCTGCTACTAAGCCTCCCGCACCGTGGTTACCCTGAGGCGCTTCCTGCCCGAGGGATGCAGGTAGCAAGTCTGGAACCTCAGCTCTGCAGATCCACCGCTCAAGATATTACTAGGGTATAGGGTTTAGGGTTCAGGTTTCAGGGTTTAAAAACAAATTTGACATTTTTCTAAATGATGTTATGTTCTTAAGAGTATATTGGCACCAGTATCCGGTAGTCGTAATACTAAGAGTAATCATACTACAGTTGGTCATAGCAGTCAGTAGCAATAGTAGTTTTTGTCCGTATATACCTGCTTGTTCATAAACTGACTTGCTTGTTTGCAAATAATACAATATAAAAGATAGACACACAACTTGAATCAAAAATGGAGTTGGAATTGGAACCGGAATTAGATTAGAATAGAACAGAACAAAACAGACTAGAAGTAGAATAATTCCAATACATTCTACAATATCCTATAATATATTCTACATCTAATTGTTTAAACATATTCATTTGTTTCTTCTATAAAACATGTCCCCCCTTGAGGGCGAAGCTGCAAAAAGGCTTGCTTGCCCGCTGCTGCCGTGGCGGCCTCCATCAAGCAGCTCTCCAGGTCTAGGTTTGAGAATCTGTGACCGCAGCGCTGCTAGGGTATAGGGTTTAGGGTTTAGGGTTTAGGGTTTAGGGTTCAGGGTTCAGGGTTTAGGATTTAAGGTTTGGGGCCTGGGCGATGTCGAAGTAGAAGCCGATCGTGGTGTTGCGGTCAAGGGAGCCTGCAACCTGGAGCAGGCGCATGCAGGCACAGAGTTTTTGTTCAAGCCAGACCGGGTAGCCTCTCTAGGGGATAGGATTAGGGGGACCCTTGGGAACAAAGACCCTCTGAATAAGGTCCCTGTTTAAGAGCCAGAAGAGGGTTCAGAAGGGTTCCCGTTTAAGGGTCCCCCTTATCCTACCTAGGATTCTCTTGCTCTACGCATAGAAGACGAAGCTGAGCAAGCGACCCACTGGCATGTATTGCCTTCACCAATTTCAGTCTCTGCGACGCAGGGCCCTTTCTTGCCCAGAGACCTCCGCAAGCGCGAAGCAGCATCGGGCTTGTGAAGTGCGAGGGCAGAGGTCTAAGCTCATGGCGACAAGCCGCCTACTGCGCCACAGCATTTGAACTCTCTCGAGGTGAAGACCTGCCGAAAGCCGTGGCATGTGTGACTGCAGGACTAACTCCTAACAGGTGTACGTGAAGATGCGGCTCTGCCTTGAACTGCCTGTGCTCGCTCTTAAGTTTTGCGCGAGAAGGACTGACGAAGGCCCGGGTCTCAGGCCCCTTTGAATCGTGACTATTTTTGACTCTTTGGCTGTTCTCCGAGCAGGCCTTTACCTGTGTCCTTGCGCCCTAGCAGCCCACTCTCAGCCCTGGAGGCCCTCCTTTGGAAAGATGGGGATGGCTGCAACAGTGGTAGTCTTCGTCGCCGAGCCAAAGACTTGGACACCATCCGGCTTCTCCGGCGTCTCGGGCTTCGGGGCCGAGGTTGGCGCAAGCAAGCCAAGGGCATCTGCAATCTCAGAAGCCAGAGCATCCACATCCGGCAGCTCGTCGCCACCGATACCACTGCCAATGCCAAGCAAGATGACCTCGCCTGCCAGCGAGACGACACTCGCCCGCAGCTCGGAGCTGTCGGAGCTCACCGTCTTCACTGCTGGGAGGAAGGCTTCTGCCGCGATCCTTCCGAGCCGAGCCGGGGTGAGCGCCTTGATTTCTGCGCGGGCGGTCGCGAGAACCGCCGACCGAGCCTTGGTTGCAAGGTCAGCTGCGACACCGGCAGCTTCGGCTGTGGCCCTGACCCTATCTGCAGATTGCACCGCAATGGCCTCTGCCTTCTCGGACGTCAAGGAACTGTTGATCTTGGACCTAGCAGCGATCCGCTTCTTCTCACGAGCCGCATCACCATCGTCTGACGAGTTCGCGCCCTTGGGGTCCTTGGGGCCCTTGGCTTTGCATCCAACCCAGTGGCACTTCGTCTCTTCACTGGTGTTCAGCTGCGTGCAAGTGCCTCCGTTGGCAGCCTCTGTCTCCACTTTCCGTGACCGCTGGCTGACGCCTGTTTCTGCACACTGCTTACCCCCGGAGCAATCACTCCACTTGCTCCAAGAACTCCAGGTGCAGTCGCGTGATCCCCAACCACACCATCGTCGTCTCTGGTGGAGGTTTCTTCCAGGAATGCCGAAGGCATTTCGTCGCCTGTGCGCAGAGTCGGACACGAGATTGTCAACATTGTTCTCGCCACACCAGTGCATCGAGTAGCACCTGCAAGCATTCAGCTCGCCTTCAGGTGCAGGGGTGGTGTCAAACATTGCTGCCGTGCACAGCACGGAGCCTTCCGCTCGAAGCTCCCTCCAGTTCGAAGCACCCCGCCCGTACAGCACGACACCGTCACATGCACAGGTGCCACCCTCGACAGAGCACTCGACGAAGTTGCTTGTCTGCACGTAGGCGCTGTCTGCATCTTTCGCGCCTGTGTCCGTTCGATGTAGGCCTACCGAGGCCAGATGTCTATCGGACATCCCTTCTCGCTGCGATGCCTCCTCGACCCTCATCATTCTCCGAGCTTCTGTAATACTGCCATCGGCATCTACATGAGCATAGACTGCGGCAGCCGAAGGCCGGGAAGAGCAGATGAGCAGCAGGACATCCAGCACCCGCATCTCTACCTTTGGCAGAGTGGGTCACACTACGCAAGCCTGGACCCACAAGGGCCCTGGCATTTGTATCAATCAAACCCAGAAGCCACGGCTTGAGCCGAGCAAGCTTGCCTGCACTGTGCTTGCCGGTGCTAAGAACCCTCAGCTACGAAAGGCGAAGGGCCATCCTCCCTCTCTGAACTCTCTCCCCAGGGCTGAGGCCTCTATCTTGGCATTGAAGCCAAGCTTCAGGTAACCCGTCTGCCAGGGATTCGGACCACATGCCGTCACAATTCGTCAACGAACGTGCCACGCAAGGACTCGCAGAATGTCAGGCCTCATCGGGCTCGAAAATCTTTCGGAACGAGTCCTGCACAAAGCGGCGCTGCTAGCTCCCCACCCCCCCATCCTCCCCCCACCCCCAAACGGCACCCATCAGCAGGCTCTCGGCAACTCAGCTCAGCATCCTTGAAGACATGCATGCTGAAGGAGTCACTCATTACCTCGAGTCAACTGGCAGTTACTCTGAGATGGAAACTTGGAGAACTCCAGCACAGCACACAGACACAGGCCCTCGCCATGTATCCACCAGTTTTGTCAGAAATTACCTTCATCTCATAGAGACCGACCTGCCCGCACTTCGCTTCAGAGTCTAAAAAAAGCAAACCTGAACAGCTCAACAGCTGTGCCTGGTCCAGAGAGCACGCAAAAATGTCGACTGCGAAGCCGCAAGCTACAGCCTGTGCACATCAACGAGATGTATTGCCGGGGCCTGCTGAGTTGTCCCCTGAACACCATGATGCATTCGAGCACCCGGCCCTTGAGGCAAGCGAGGCGTAAAATTTCAACGCCTTCTTCGTGTGCTTGGCCTTGGTGACGAGAGGATGCTCAGAACTTGAGGGGGTATTGCACGGCTTTCTTCACGATACGACCCTTTAAACGCACCACAGTAACAGTACACCGTACACCGCGTCCACATTTGTGCACCAGACCTCACTATCAACATTCACCAGCGCACCGCACCCTCGCACCCCTCACCCAACCACACCTCGGACCTGGTGTTGCGATGTTGGGCTCGAGTGCTGAATTGCCCAGCCAAGAGTACCCCAGAGAATCCCTGCAGTGCCCACCGCCAATGAGCATTTTCAGAGAATCCACAGAGTGCCCAGCCCGAAGAGTATTTCAGGAGTTGCTGGAACCCCTGGAGCCCAACCCAAGAGTCCAAGAGTATTGCCAGAAAATCCCTGGAGTGCCCAACGCCAAGAGTACGAGTCGTGCTGAGGTAAAATCAAACAAACCCCACACTGACGGTGGGCGAAATCCTCGATGCCACACAAAACAGACTGTTTGAAAGAATATTGAGCCCTTGCTACTTGTCCAAAGCAGATACAACTCAGGCCTAGATTGCGCTAGCTTTCGTGGCTTGCAATCTAGAGACGCGCCTACCAAGCAAATCTGGCAGCCTGAATAGCGACTTGGCAGCTTGCAGCGTCACTTCTGGCTGTTGACAAAACTCGGGATGTTCCCCCCCTTATACTAAGAGTCCTTAATAGGGATCCAGATAGGAGGGGGGCTATGACCATTAAGGAGCTATTTGTGTAGAAGGGGGAACATCCCAAGAGAAAACCCCCAAAGGCTCCCGCATTCGGCGTCTCCTTCTGAAGGTCTAGATGAGATCGAATGGTCTCTGCAAGCTCCTTGGACAGGCTTCCCAGTCACATCAGAGCATGAAAACCCCCTAAACCCTAAACCGTCAACCTTGAACCCTAAACCATCAACCCTGAACTCGACCCCCAAACCTTAAACCAAAAACCCTAAATGGAATCAGCTTCTTGGCTATCTCGGAAAAGGGTCCTCTCCAACGACCATGCCAGGGCCGACGTTGCACGGGCCGCCCACGAGCAGCGTGACGCGCACCTCGGCGCTTGGACCCCGCGTTCACTGTGGTTTAGGGTTTAGGGTTTAGGGTTTAGGGTTTAGGGGTTAGGGTTTAGGGTTTAGGATTCAGGGTTTAGGGTTTAGGTATTAGGGTGTAGGGTTTATTTTAAGGTTTAGGATACGGTTTAGGCAAAAGGGAATGAAGTCGCGGCAAGATCCTGCACTTAATACCCTGCACCGCCTCTGCATATTCTGATTTCCTGGACAGAAAAATAAATCGCGGGGCACAGACCACAAAAAAAAGGAATCATGCAACATAAGCATACATAACACCACAGGAACTCCCCCAATTTCGCTAGCACTAGGAGTGAGTGCAACTTGTTCAGCAACCGCGGGGTCAAATCTCAGCGCACCAAGTGAATCAGTGGGTTCAACATGGTTCAACCCTCATGTGAACCAATGGCAACAAGACTTCTGCATCCTTTGTCCCTTGCTCGATGTCGGCATCATGACTCAGTCGACCTTGTCGTGTGGACGGCCCCAAACATGCTAATCCAGCTCAGCCGTCGGAGAAATCACATGGGCTACACCCTCATGCGAAAGGGAATGATTCGAGAGCATCCTCGCCGCTCAACTACACGTGGGTCAATCAGCTCTTCCACCCATTCGGACGCAAAGGTTACAGCAAGGTCAGAACTCAGCGCACCAAGTGAATCAGTGGGTTCAACATGGTTCAACCCTCATGTGAACCAATGGCAACAAGACTTCTGCATCCTGTCTTTGTCCCTTGCTCGAGGTCCCAACCAACCCATGCAAACCTCATGGGGCATCATGACTCAGAAACATGCTAATCCAGCTCAGCCGTCGGAGAAATCACATGGGCTACGCCCTCATGCGAAAGGGAATGATTCGAGAGCATCCTCGCCGCTCAACTACACGTGGGTCAATCAGCTCTTCCACCCATCCGGACGTAAAGGTTACAGCAAGGTCAGAACTCAGCGCACCCAGTGAATCAGTGGGTTCAACATGGTTCAACCCTCATGTGAACCAATGGCAACAAGACTTCTGCATCCTGTCTTTGTCCCTTGCTCGATGTCCCAACCAACCCATGCAAACCTCATGGGGCATCATGACTCAGTCGACCTTGTCGTGTGGACGGCCCCAAACATGCTAATCCAGCTCAGCCGTCGGAGAAATCACATGGGCTACGCCCTCATGCGAAAGGGAATGATTCGAGAGCATCCTCGCCGCTCAACTACACGTGCGTCAATCAGCTCTTCCACCCATTCGGACGCAAAGGTTACAGCAAGGTCAGAACTCAGCGCACCAAGTGAATCAGTGGGTTCAACATGGTTCAACCCTCATGTGAACCAATGGCAACAAGACTTCTGCATCCTGTCTTTGTCCCTTGCTCGATGTCCCAACCAACCCATGCAAACCTCATGGGGCATCATGACTCAGTCGACCTTGTCGTGTGGACGGCCCCAAACATGCTAATCCAGCTCAGCCGTCGGAAATCACATGGGCTACGCCCTCATGCGAAAGGGCATGATCTTCGAGAGCATCCTCGCCGCTCAACTACACGTGCGTCAATCAGCTCTTCCACCCATTCGGACGCAAAGGTTACAGCAAGGTCAGAACTCAGCGCACCAAGTGAATCAGTGGGTTCAACATGGTTCAACCCTCATGTGAACCAATGGCAACAAGACTTCTGCATCCTGTCTTTGTCCCTTGCTCGATGTCCCAACCAACCCATGCAAACCTCATGGGGCATCATGGCTCAGTCGACCTTGTCGTGTGGACGGCCCCAAACATGCTAATCCAGCTCAGCCGTCGGAGAAATCACATGGGCCACGCCCTCATGCGAAAGGGAATGATTCGAGAGCATCCTCGCCGCTCAACTACACGTGCGTCAACCAGCTCTTCCACCCATTCGGACGCAAAGGTTACAGCAAGGTCAGAACTCAGCGCACCAAGTGAATCAGTGGGTTCAACATGGTTCAACCCTCATGTGAACCAATGGCAACAAGACTTCTGCATCCTGTCTTTGTCCCTTGCTCGATGCCCCAACCAACCCATGCAAACCTCATGGGGCATCATGACTCAGTCGACCTTGTCGTGTGGACGGCCCCAAACATGCTAATCCAGCTCAGCCGTCGGAGAAATCACATGGGCTACGCCCTCATGCGAAAGGGAATGATTCGAGAGCATCCTCGCCGCTCGACTACAGGTACGTCACAGGCTACAGCGAGGTCAGAACTCAGCACCAAGAATTCGCGGGTTCAACATGACAACGGCGAACAAAGTTTACAGGGCATCGTGCCGCGACCAGCCTCGCCGTGCCGACAGCCCAAATATCGTGGCTAAGCCAGCTCAGCCGTCCGAGAAGTCACATGAGCGGTTGACAAAAACCAGTCGAACGTTGGGCAACATGGTTTGCCCCTATCGATCTTCGAGGAAAAGAATCAGACGACAGAAGGCCCGCAACTTCAAGACAAGATGATTGGATTAAAATGTCTGATGCTCACATGGGCTACGATGAATAACTGAAGAACCCTCCTTTGCATGTTGAACCCAGGGTCGGGTTTAGGGTTTAGGGTTTGCGTGCTGCGCCAGGAGATCCCTCCATCAATGACCTCAGCTTAACCTGATCAGCCGGACGGATCAGGCTCCCTTGCCCTCCAAGAGCTTCAAGAAGTGACGCGGCGAACACCATGAGACCCAGACAATACGGGCGCTTTTGGGTTCTCCTCAAGACTTTTGCCATGGTATTGGATTATGGCTTGCCACGGGGGGGAGCTGTAAACCTCTCCCAGAAAAAGGCTTCGAAAATGGTCCAAAAGCTTCGAGTCTGGGATGTGTTGAATACTGAAACACAGCATGCGATCGCGGCCCTGGAGTCTTGCACCCACTCATCAAACATCCCAAGGGCCCCAAATGGGGTCCGATCATCCCGATCCGTTCCCTCCCATGCCCTAAGGGCATTGGAATTTTCCAGAGGGCCGGGAAGGCCGGGAAGGTCTCACGCCTTGTGAGGATTCAAAAATCATGTTCGAAACATTAGCATACAACTGACACTCCGGCTTCAGGGCAGAGCGCCATCGGCTAGAAGCAAATTCACCCGAAGGCCAGAACTCAGGATGCCTCTTAAAGGCAAAAACTGCGTCTCAGACCTTTCGAAGCATTCGAGGAATCTGCTCCGGCAGTACCATCTGTTGCCTTGGACGCCCTGCTGGATCTGCGTACTCCACGTACAGGCAGCCCTCTACCGAACCTGAGCCAATGCTGATGCCAACCTCGGCAGCAGGAGTGCTGGGCTCGTGCTCATCCGGAAAGTGGAGATTGCTACGGATTGGCGACAGCACCGACATGCGCAGATTAAAGCCAGGACTCCAGTTTCGCTGGCAGCCATCTGCGGCTGCTGTGCAGCAAGACTTGTCCATGGAGCGGAATGAATCCGAATGGAAGGCCTCAGAACCACGGGGCTGCCACTGGGCTTGTGGAAAACAAGGGCTCTTTCTTGGCAAGCTGCGTGCGGCTCCTGCGACTCCTGGCTGTGTGGGAGGCGCCTCCTGCTTGGGGGCCTCCACACGAGTCAAGAGTCAAAGTCAGCGAGACTGTATAAGTATATATTTGCACACCCCTGTCGCTAAATGCCACAACTGGAGTCCTTGGATGAGGTTCATACGCTCAGCCAGCATTAAGCAATTAGGTGCAGGCAAGCCTTTGCCGAGCAACTGGAAGCCAAGCCGGGGGTACTAATTCAGGACGAGGCTAATACACGGAGCAGCTGTGCTCTCGGCACCATGCTTGTCATCACGCACGTCAGCCGGGGGTGCGTTGGGTAATTCGAAGCGAAAATTTGCTCTCGCCTCATGTAGTGCACTCTTGTCATTGCACGCGTCAGGGGAGGTGTGTTGGGCAATTAGACACGAAGATATCAGCACCTGCTCTTGTTGTTCCCTTCTGTGGTGCTTCTTCTGGTCCACGAACTGCACAGCCTCATTTAAAGGTCCTCCCGACCGTTAGAGCTGAGCAGGTACGTTTGCTCGGCCAAATGTTCGGTACTTTTTCCCTGGAATCGACAACATGCCCCTACAAAATGGGAACATGCCAAAGGCCCTTCGCCCTTTGCTTAGAATCAGGTCGCATCGCACACACAACTTGTTAGACAAGGCGAGAACTGCTCATGTGAACATCCGACCGAGAAAGGCTGGTGCGGAGAGCGGAGTCGTAGAAACTTCCCCTTCTCTGTAAGTAGTGCGAACTTTGTTCACAGGCTCAGAGGTTCAAGTTGTTGCAACTATTCTGCTCTGACATGAAAACATCTTCGGCTTGCGAATTACTGTCCAGCCTGCATCATACTCTTACTCTGAACTGCAGACAAAAACGCACGCCTCCACGACAGTAGGAAGTTGAGGCGACTCTGCCTCTCTGTGTCCAGCACCAACCTCACACAAGATGGCGAAAAGGCGCTTCGACACTCAAGCTCTCAAGCTCTCAACAACCCTCAACAGATTGAAATTGGACTTCCGCTCGACGACTGAGAAATTGCTCCTGGGTAGCTCCTGACAAGACGAGCGGCGCTCCTGACGGCTCCACTGGGCGCCGTAGCACCCGTGGTGGGAACTGCAGACTCTGGAATGGGCTGCATCAGCTTTTCAAAAGTTGGAGTCCGAGCTGTTCCACCCGCGGGCTTGAGAGGAGCTTCACCTGTTATGGATGACTTGGTTGATGTTGTCGTGCTCGAGGTGTCGGTGGCCGAGACTCTCTTTGACACCGTGCTTTCCCGGCGGCTTTCCGCCATCTCACTCTCATCATCTCCCAAATCGAATCCAAGCCTTGACTGCTCATCTTCACACAACACAAAACCTTCAACATCCTTCAACCAATGCTGTCAAGAAGCTGACAGCCAACCGCGCGCAAGGCATGCTCGAGAAGATCGGCACGAAGCGTGCAGTATCCTGCGTGGAACTGATTGCATCGCGCATAAACCGCTGTTTGCACAAACCTCATCTGTCGAGCGCTACCCTAAACCCTAACCCTAAATGCATTGGGCTACTGAAAAGCGAAAAGGCCTAAAGGACAGAAAGGACAGATACCGAATCTGCAATTGCATCCCATAGGCATGGGGATCGCATGGCACGTTGGGGCCCAAACAACTTCGTCTGACCGGTAGACTTTACGGGTTCGTCATGCCCTACCATGAGCCCTAAGCCCTGTGTGGTCCTGGGCTTCTGCAGTACCCAGCATGGACAACTAAAGTCTCTGTCTCAGAAACTTGCCTCTGTATCTCCACTATCCTCAGCTGGACCCACACAGCGCCCACTCGCCAAAGAACAAAAAATAAAAACCATTATTATTGTTATTATTGTGATGATAATAATAATGATAATAATACATATATATATATCGAAACAATTGGAACCCAAGCCACTTCAGGGATCCATCCCACTCAGTGAGAGCAATACCTCAGGTGCCGAGAATCTTGAGGCACACACAGAAACCACCAGCAAGACGCTACTTGCTAGGGAAAACATGTGCCATCCGGAACAGAAGAGCCAGGATCCGAGGCGCTGCACTTGCAAACCGGCGATCTCATGTGCACACTCTTCAGCTGATCTCGAATGAGTACAAACTCCTGGCGTGCACTTGCACATGCACTTGGACTCGCACAAGCTTCTGAAGAGCATCATTCTTACTATTTTTGTTGTTACTATTATTATTCCTATTATTACTACTAGTATTATTATTTTATTATTATTATTAGTATTATTATTATTAGAGCTCCGTGCTGGCTCCTGGAATGGTTTGGAGGAAGCCAAGATCGACTTCTTGAGCTCCCTCACGCGGCGGGAGTGGCGCACGTGAGCCTGACCAGCCATCATGCCCACGACCACCCTAAATCCGAAGCCCTAAGCCCGATGCCCTAAACCCTAAACCCTAAACCCTAAACCCTAAACCCTAAACCCTAAACCCTAAACCGAACCCCTGAACCCTAAACATCCCCTGAACCCTGAACATCCCTAAACGCGCCCCTGAACCCTGAACATCCCTAAACGCGCCTGAACGCCCCTGAGCATCACATCCCGAGGCCCTAAACGCTCCTCAACGTCCCTTTCAGCCGTAAGCCGTAAGCCCCCAAGCAGCCCTAAAGGCCCCAAGATGCAAGCGCCTTTCCTACGGTGGGGATGCCGTCTCCGAGCTTCCATTCCTCCAACTTCACGACGCCTTCGGTTTGTTGCTTGACGGGTCAGGGCTTGAGAGTTTTGGTATTTGGTGTCACTTGACTGATTCTGCATCTTGCTCCTCAACTTTGCCCTCTTCGTCGCTCCTTCGTTCCGTCCTCTTTTTTCCCTCGTTCCTCCTTGCTCAGCATCTCCCTTTCTCCAGCTCTCTCTCTCTCGCTCTCGCTCTCACCCTCACCCTCACGCCCACGCCCACGCTCACTCTCGCTCTCACTCAAAGTGCGCTCGAGTCCCAAAGACGCTCTCCCTCCTCACCCCCCGAGCCCGAACGTGACCCAAAGTCCAGTCATGAGTCGACGGGGGATGTGAAACCCCGGAATTGCGAAGTCCAGATATTATTGATGTTATTACTATTCTACTTCTTATCATATTATTTAGCATTACTATGCTTACTGTTAAGCGTATTCCTATTATTATTCTCTCTGTCTTCACTCCCCCCCCCCCTCGCCTTCCGGATCCTCCTCGAGCAAGATCTTGACCTCAAGCTGTCTCAAACACACGAGCCCGCGCTCCGGTCAGGGTGGCAGCTGCAATAGCATTTAGGGTTTACGGTTTAGGGTTTAGGGTTTAGGATTTAGGGTTCAGGGTTTAGGGTTTAGGGTTCAGGGTTTGCTTCTGGCAAATCTCATTTTCGTCGTGGATTCGGAGGCTGGAAGAACTGTCCGAGTCGCAGATCCGTTCGACTCGTTGGCAAAGGCAAACTTGTAAGTCTTCGCATTCCAGGCTGCAATTTCTTGAGCACCTGGTCTGGCAACAAGCTAATCAAATCGAGGGCCCTTGCGGCCCATTCTCCGAACCCTCTCTGCACACAGAGCTACAGAGCTCAACTCAGGGCACGGATGCAAAAGGCGACCTCGGGAAACCTGACCCCAGGGCCCAAAGCATCTCCCCGACATGCGCGCTTCTGATCGGATGCGAAAAAATTGCAAAGATGCTCCAGGGTCATTGAAGGTGGAAGAACCCTCGTCGCTTGGGCACTTATCAACGGCCTGTATTTCAGCCTTGTTTATTGCGGGCGCGTTGGTGTGATTGGGCTGGGCGGGCTGACTCCGCTGATTTGGTCGGGTTCTGCAATTCGCCCTGCAACCTTTGGTGGCTGGTCGTGGGTGGTTATTGTGATTGCGTCTGTGCTGGAAGTAGGTTGGTACTTCGACTTGTGGTGTTGTCTGCAAGCTGCTGCCTTTGGCGTGCATGAGGACTTTGGAACCGATGGCTGTGAGTGACGCGGATTGTGAGCTGTTCCTGCGTTGGTCGTGAGTGCCTCTCGGTCCTGTTTCTATGCTGGGACTAGTGTGACTTCAGCGTGAGGATGCGGCCTGGGCATGTGCGAGGTGCGGCTGGTTGATGGTACTTGTGATGTCGGCAGCATTCTTCCGCACAACCGCTATATTTTCCTCAGGGGAATGGCACAAACTTGTCGTGGCGGTGTCGTTGATGTGCCGTTGCGCTTGTGACCCCGGTACTTGCACGGCGTAGACCTCAAAGATCATCAAAGCGAGTGTGGTGTAGGCTGGGGTGGGTTCCCATCCTGCGCAATCGTTTTGAAGCTGTCCTTGTGGGCCAAAGTTGAAGCGAGCTTCTTCTGGATGGAGGGTGACAACAATTCAGGATGCCCGGGGTGGGTGGTCCGGCTGTCGATTGTGCTTTCTATTGTGGTGTTGTAATGAACGGCGTTGTGGGCCGGTTTGGGGTGCAATGCAAGCTGTGCATGGCCGGTGGTGTATTGGAGTGGTTGCTGCTGCTTCTGGCCACGAGATCTGGGTTGGCTTATTTGTTTGCTGTTGGCACGGAGGAGCCCAACGTCACCAAGTATTGACTGCGCGTGCCAACACAACCACCCTACGCACGAGCGATGTTTACTGCACAGGCCCTCATGTCACATGCACGCGCCATCGTGCTGCAACTACCGTGAGATAGTAAGGGAAACCAACTTCTGTCAACCTCTGAAGAAACCCTCAGTGCCGCGAGGCACCACGGTTCGTTGCCTTCCGCAGAAAACTCAGCGCCATGCGTGCACCGAGAGCGGTTGGCAACAATCGAACTACGATTACTGACTTAGGGCTTAGGGTACATAGGGTGGCCCACGGACCCCAACGTCGAAGTTGCTGTCAGATGTTTGTGTCACCTTATGCCATCTTGTGTCTAATTCTAAGCAGCATGCCAGCATTGTCCCTGGAAATTGCTTGCCGCTGACTCTTCTGCTCGTATCGGGATTGAACCATGTGCAAAGCGGAGCGGCAGCAAGCAGAAATGTCTGGCCGACAGCACGCACAACCGCTCTTACATCCACGCGGATGTACGGACAATTACATGGCTTCTATATGGAGGGAAGAACATGGCGAGAAGAGGGAGGCGTCTGGGACCCGCTGAGGCCCCGGCGCTTCCCTGCGGGCACGTGGCCTCCACCAATCCGAGAGCCACGCTCAGAGCGGCTCCCGTGCACCTTCCAAACTGGTTGAGGGTTAGACCCTTAGGGTTTAGGGTTTAGGGTTTAGGGTTCGGGGTCTCGGGTCTAGGGTTTAGGGCTTCGGGGTAAGGGTTTCGGGTGTAGGGTTTAGGGTTTAGGGTTTAGGGCTTAGGGTTTAGGGTTTAGGGTTTAGGGCTTAGGGTTTTGGGGGAGTCCCACCCTCTGTCTCCAGGCCAGCTCTGATCTCTCCTGAAAGTGTTGGCTGCGCCGTGGTTTGCCATGTCCCAACAGCCCAGCCTGTAAGGTCGTCGATCGTGCCCTCCCAGTGGCCACGCATCTCTGGAAAGATCGTCAAGCAAGGAGTTCAACGTGAACCTGATCGGTGAGAAGCCAAGCCTGAACATCGTATGTTTGTTAGTATGCCTTCGCGCTGGATATTATGTGCACACGTATATCTAAACACACATGTGTGATCCTCACTCGAAAACAACGCAGGCCAAGAGTGACAACAACACACACGCGCGCCCCCCCCCCCCCCACCCACTCACCCACCCCCCCACCCACACACACACACACACACACAAAAAAACAAAAAAATAAAACACACACACACACACAACACGGTGGGCAAAGGCACTGAGGCTCGCACTCACAATCTGCAACTGGAAGCAGGAATCTCCTGCAGAATTTAGTCACACTGTGTTTCCCTCACCATGAAAACCTGCAGACAAGGCCTTGCTGCTTGCGCCCCCATGGTCCCTCTGGGATCATTTTTCAACGCAAAGCCCAGCTGGTAGGCCACCTGCCGAGTTTGCACAGCCTCTGCTTGAGACCCTGCGCTTGACACAGCATGCGAATAGACGCTGGCATGGCCACATTGTCACCCCAAAAATCCTAAACCCCAAACAACAGCCAACCAGACTTCAACGCTCCAACCATCAAGGTTTTTAGGGGTTTTGGGACCACCCTGCGCAGCTGCTATGAAATACAAAAACAACAACGAATCCAAAAAACAAACAATGACGATAGCAAAAGCACTGGCAAATATGTACAAGTAATACGACATGGCACCCTAAAGTATACCGCGTAAAGAATGCACAACAAACTTCGAGACCAACCAGCAGAATCTGCATAATCTAAGCCGATCCCCGCACAAACGAAATAGGCTTTTAACTACATACACCGACCCACTTCTGAGGGTGTCGCATCACTATTGGGACAGACCTCGATAGACGCAACACCCACCAAAAAATCAACAGCACAACCCTAAACCCTAAAGCCTAAACCCTATTAGCCTAAACCCTAAACCCTAAGCCCAGTTTTGCGTCTGCGCCTGCTGCGCGGTGTACTCTTTTCCACCGCGGAAGGCATAGGCCTGGACTGTCGAATTGGGGTGTTCGGTTCGTTTGGGTTCGGGGTTTTACGGCTTGAAATTTAAAGTTTAGGGTTTTCAGGTTTAGGGTCTTAGGGTTTAGGGGGTTTTAGGCCCCGAGGCTTCTTCAAACCCTGTAACCCTATCAGATATGGCCCTTGATCCTAAGTATAGAGTGTGGGATTCAGGTGCCCAAGCAGACCCTTGAAAGAGCCACTAGGTTCCTTGAAGCTTTGGAGCGCCCTGAACATCAGGGGCCGCAATAAGAGTGGAGCTCCAAAGTGGGCCCCGAAGATAGGGACCACCCCAAACTCAAAAACCCTAAAACCTAAACCCAAAACCCCTAAACCCTAAACCCTAAACCCCAAGCCCACAAAAGGGAGCACAGCTTGGAGGTCTCACCTTGGGCAGCGTCGTGGAGGCCAGCTCGTGGACGTAGCACCTTGGAGAGCTGGGAGGTGTTCTACTTCAGGGGCTTGAGGTTTAGGGTTTGGGGTTTGGGGTTTGGGGTTTGGGGTTTTGGGGTTTAGGGTTTTTCGTTTAGGGTTTGGGGTTTAGGGCTTAGGGTTTAGGGTTTAGGGTTTAGGTCTTAGGGTGCCATACTGGAGACCTAAAACCGGGCCAAGGATGCAGCCCCCCCCCCCACGGGCTGAGGAGCCGGACATCGCACCGAAGGTGATAAACCCGACCAAGGCATTCTGCGGCATCATGGCCAACGACTGCTGCAGCGAGTCCTGGAGTTCACTATACCTTAGAACCTTAATAAAACTAATATGTTGAATGTCCTCTTGGGTTTTATATAAACAAACGTAAAGGATGATTCCCAAGGGGGATATAGGAGTTTAGGGGCCCTGCAAAACGGCCGCAGGACACGAAAAGGCCACCGACAAAATGTGTCCTTTGCTTGGTCCAGCTCTTCTTCGATGAGCGCCGTATCCAAGACTAACAAGAAGACAGGCCTGGCAGTCGGTTGCGGACAGCTCTGCAACATTCACACGATTCAGCCTGGTAAGCAGCCGAGTGAGTATGAGGGAGTGACGGCTGGCAGGCGACAGATGGGATGATATACTCGATGGTAGAGCACCTCAATTCTGACCGGCTTTGGTTCGTGATGGGAACCTTCGGTGTGAGGCGCTGGCATCTGCAAGAGCTCTGCCGGTAGATTTGTCTCCGTTATGTGATCTGCATAATGCCTCAGAGGTCCAAGCGTTCCTGTGAAGCTCTGCATTCGATGCAACAAGGGATCTGAAGAAGCCTCGCTTAGCGTCGCTCTGAGGAAAACGGTTTCGAGTGTGACAAAATGGGCACGTCCAACCTGAGCAACGACATAACGCGATGGCAGCCACAGGAGCACAACACAGACTTCATGCCCTCCCTCCAATACTCATATACAAATATATAACATACATACATACATACATACATACATACATACATACATACATACATACATACATACATACATACATACATACATACATACATACATACATACATACATACATACATACATACATACATACATACATACAGACATACATACATACATACATACATACATACATACATACATACATACATACATACATACATACATACATACATACATACATACATACATACATACATACATACATACATACACATACACATACACATACACATACACATGCACATGCACATGCACATGCACATGCACATGCACATGCACATGCACATGCACATGCACATGCACATGCACATACACATACAGATACACATGCACATGCACATGCACATGCACATGCACATGCACATGCACATGCACATGCACATACACACACATACATACATACATACATACATACATACATACATACATACATACATACATACATACATACATACATACATACATACATACATACATACATACATATTGACTGAATGGTTCATACCCTACGATATGTACCTCAAATGTTGTGCTCAAAAACACATCAGCGATGCTGCAGGGAGAAGGCGGAGGTCCGAACTCTACACCGGCTGAGGCCCGAACTCTTGGAGTGGAAGTCCACGTAACAAAAAGGATTGAGTACAGCTCCGCAGTCTCTCCCCTGCTCAGCACACAAAGGTTTCGCGCGTTTTGGGGTTTTTGGGTTTAGGGCAACTTTAATCCCTGAACCCTAAACCCTAAACTGCCTAAACCCTAAAACCCTATAAATCCTATAACCCGAAACCCTAAAGTCAAGGAAATGGCCAGCCTTGCAAATCACAGGCTCATACTCCACCAGTTGAAGGCCTTCTGTCTCCTGCACTCTGAGACCCTCTCAAGAAGGTCCCCTCTGTAAGCGGGCAAGAAGAGGGTTGAGAAGGGTTCCCTTTTACGGGTCCCTCTTATCACCTAGGATAAGGTCTCTTGGAGTTTTGGGTTTCTTTCATGGGTCTTACGCCCTGAACTTCACACCGTAAACCCGAAGACCTCACGGGGTTCTGTGCGTCTGCGTCCTTCAGAGGGGTGTACAGGCAGCCCAGCGGCACAATGACACGGGTTGCATCCAGCCTCACAGCATGGACAAAGCCACATGAGTGCGCAGAAGCTGCCGCTGCATGTTGTTGCCATGCACCCGATGAGTTCGGGCCTGGTGCTGGGCCAAATATTCCATGACATGCGCGTGCCGGTGATCTGCTCCTGCGATCTGACCTTGGGATCTCCTACCTCAACCAGCATCCTACAAACAGTCAACAGGGCGAGTCCACTGCATCCATGGCAATCACAGCGCGGCTGCGACCGCTCCACCTCAAAAAAATGACAGATATGACAGATATGACAACCGGGCACCATTGGCGTGCCAAGACTCAGAAGCTTGCTGAGGTCAGGGCAGCTAGGCCCCTACCTCTAGCTTCAACTTCCCTCCTCCTTGAGCACGGGAAGACAACCCCGCTACTGACTCCGTTCCGTCAGTCAACTCCCCGTGAAGGCAGAACTCTCTCGCTCGATTTTTTTGCAGGGCCTCTTGGGGCTTTTTGGGAGTTTCATACGACCTGGGTAGAACTACAAGCAGGTTGACAGCAAACTTTAAATATCAGAGCGCCATGAGCAATCACAGAGTCGGCCAAGAAACCTACAACGGCGATCACAAGCGGCAGGGAGCTGCAAGGAGCGGGCTCGCCATATGCGGGTCTCTCTAGGAACAAAGCTTCCTATCAGACCCAGTGTTGCTCGGCCGGCCGGGCCCGCAGCCGCAACCTCTCACAGCTGCCACTGGCACTGCGTTTTGGGCACCTCTATCGTGTCGTTGGGGAGCTCAGTCTCCTCACCTCTACTACGTCGTCGGGGATTCTCTGTTTCCCCTTCGGATCTCTGCGTTTTCCTGGGCCCTCGGGCTCCTTGGGCCCTTGGGCTTTTCGACTCTTTGCGCCTCTGGTCTTGCCCTGTCAAAACTTCTCTGTCTTATGTGCTCACAGGACCCACAGCCTCTTCGCCCCGTTTGCTCGCTTTTCAGGTGGGCTGAGAACTCTGTCAGGATTTGAGCTCTGATGTGCAATCCTTTTCAAGAAGCTGAGTTCTTCCCCAAACCGTTATCACCCACCACTTTCCGCCACAATTCCACGCTCTTTTATCAGACCAGCGGTTGCACTACAGCTCTCTTCTGCAGCCCCACTAAGAACAATCAATCAGTGCGGCACTTAGTCCGCACGTCTAGCAAACAGCGGATCACACGCAGAAAGTGCCCTGACAGATCACCTGCATGGCTCGAGAAGCTTGTCGATCGGAGTTTCACAAGTCCATCGATTCATGACACATGTGCCTCCGGACGTGTATCCCATTCATGCGTGTAGTCCTGCATTCAGCCCACAAAGCACGATACTCTGCAACAGTGAAGATAGGAACAAAGCAACTCGCCACAGGCCTCTGAATTCAGAGGCTCCAACTCCACTAGCGGAAGGTACCTTGAACCGCATGCATTTCCAGCGTGCTACGTCGCTCAGGTGTTGGACATTCTGCACCTTGACAGGTCCAGCTTTGTCTTCGCAAACAGCTGCTTGACCTGAAACGTACATGTCTGCCTTTTGTGGAGAGGGGTGTGCACGCAACAGTGGCAGCCTCTTCGGCGTTCCCTTCCTGGATGGCTTCCTCCATTCGGGTCACCTGATGGCATGCTGGTGCATATGAAACCCTAAACCCCAAACCCTAAATTCCCATGGTCATGCAGCCGCGATTTTTGACGCAAACGTCACACCCTGGCCTTCTTCGCAAATGAACGGATGATCTGCACCTCGCACTGATGTGCCAAGTCCAAAGAAAAAGTCTATCTCCCCACACGAACGAGAACTGTGCATACAGGATGAAGCCTTCTGTGCACCTGTGTTTGTACGCGTCAAGAACCTGGTGGAACCTCACATTTTGATGTACCCGAACCCCGTGAAAGAGGTGCTGAATAATCCGAGCTCCTGTTTAATTAAACCCCCCATAATTAAAGAAATTTTTTTGCCCGGATTCCCGCCGGAAGACTACTTTCCATTACGATGGATTTCGTGTGGGCCAAACCCCCCACATTTAAAGAAATTGCTTTTTGGGGGGGTTGTCAAATTTTGAAACTCTGCCTTTCGGAAAGCTTTTTTCTTCTGCAGGGATGTTTGGGTCGATGTGAAACATCTGCTAAGCCGGGGCTTCGGTTTTCTGGAAGCTGAGGGCCTTCAGAAAGCAAGGATTTCTTATGTGATTGCTTACTGGAGGACAGAAATTTTCATTCTTTCCTGAGCTACCCCTTACGGGCTCTGGCCGGGAAAGGCGGAGTCACATTAATAGAACGGGGCCAGAATTATGGGAGGCCCTGGCCCGTGGGGAGCCCCGGTCCTGTAGTTTTTAAAGAAGCCTTAAAGCTTAAAAGGAAAAACTTTAAGGAAGCCGGGGCTTCGGTTTTCTGGAATCTGACGGGGCCATGGTCCAACTATTGCGGAACCCTGCCTTCCTTATTGTGGGGGGGGGGGGGCCCCCCAGTTAAACAGGAGCTCGGATTAGTGCTGAGAAGATGCGCGGCATGCACTTTCCAAAGTGTCATGAAGCCTTCGAACCGCAACTGCGGAATGGACTAGGACTAAGACCAGCCAATCACGCAGAAGGGCACGCGTCAGCACGAAGAGCACGGAAATCGGGCAGGAGGGATCAGACATTTCACTCACAACGAGAACCCAACTACCGGACCAAGCGCGACAACTGGTTAATCCTAAAGTGGAAGGGCGGGGATCTTTTTGGGGGCTCTTTTGTAGCATGTTCCGTTTAAGTTCAAACCGGCTACAGCCGACTCATAATTCCAGATACGTGTAAGTGTGTCAGCGTACCGTCCCAGACGCCCAGGCAGTCACCCTGAAGGCGTATCATTCCAACTTCTTGCCACACCATTCTGTAGCATTCTTAAAATCACACCATTCCAACCACATAATACTGCAGGGTCCCAAATCACCCTTCCAACCACATGGCACCAAGACAGTGATGCAGTTCTTTGTCACCTTACCCTCGTTTCCATGCGTATTCTCGGCTCAAAGGTGAGCCTGCGGCAGGTAGTCCGGAATGTCGCCAGCGCTGTATCGGAACGCTCCACCCTTGGACATAAGTTCGTGAGCGGCACCCAATGAAAAGAAACCTTAGGAGAAATGAGCGCCGGACCAGCAAGTCGGTGGCTGTCTTGAAATCCAGCCATCGCGACGTCCTTGCATGCTCGTCACGCATGCTGTCAGCGTGTGCGTGTGTATATTTAGATATACATGTATGGGGGGTGTACGAAAATAGGGGACCCCTACAATAGACACCAAATAGTAGGCATCCCTTATAACAAGGACCCCAATAAGATACCCCTATTTTCGGACCCTCGTATATTTCAACGTAACGTATGTATGTTGGACGCGAGCCTTTTCTCTTTGGTCTTGCACTTTGCGCCAAAGCCTCATTCCATCGCAACTGCACCATGCGCAACCACACGAGTCAGTTGTGGAGAGGCACTACCTTTCGACAACTCACAACTCCGAATCACCTGCAAAGGCTGAAGTCTGACTCAAGATGCTTCATGATGTTGCAGGCCCACCCTGAGCATCCTGCCACAGTTCTTTATGTCTTGCCCACCCTTCACCTTGATGATGTTCTTACCTCGCACGAATCGGAGAGGGGGCTGTGGAGAAGTGTAGGTGCCCCCATTTTACCCATCTTCGGTCCAGGCTGAAGAAGTCCTCGATCTCGGGTGCCTGGACGAATGAGTTCAGGTTGGGTTTAGGGTTTAGGGCGACTTGTGCCGGATGTGGGTAGGGGCACCCGCCTTCAAATTGCCCGCCTGGATTGCTGGCTCCATTTTCAAGTACCTGCCCGATGCCGGGTCTACCCTTTAAGACTCCAACCCCAGCACTGAAATCTTTCAACCCCAACAACTCTCCGCTCTAACTGGCTCTGACAGTTCCCTCTGGCTTAAGATCCAAGCTGGTAGAGGCCCTGGCGAACGCGCCCGTAGAACCTGGATCCCCGAACGACGCAAGTTGGAGCCAGATCCTCTCGTGGGCTCGCCAGCCTCCGCTTCCCCGACGGAATCGTGGAGTACTTCCCGGCCTGTAGACGGAAGAAGGCAGAAATGGCAGGTAAGGTATAGCTGGCAGATAGTAGAGAGACCGAGGCGTTGCTTTAAATTGTGTTTTCCTCGATTCGCACCAAGGCTGCGGCGGTTGATCCGCCGCTGGCCAGAGCTGGTTCAGCCTGCGGCCGTGAGCGCAAGTCTGACTTCCCTGGGAAGTTCTGGCATACCTTGAAATTCCTTTCAAGATGCACGTCCACATGTCCCCGTGCTTCGCACTGCTTCGCCACGCCTGCATCGCCAAGACGAGGCCTTGCAATTTCTCGTCGGCTCACATGGCTGGTGCTATCTGGTGTTGCCACATGCTGCCACACACACATGCCCGTGTGCGTGGGCTGCTGTGTGAGTGTGAGGCGAAGGCCCGCCAGGCCCGCACCGAGGAGTTCGCGGCGGGCAGGTGCCTGCGCCCAGCTACCAGACGAAATCCCCTCTGCCCTCGGACCCAGTAAAGGCACCCTGCCTGCGGAAGAACCCATGCCTGGGACCCACATCGGAGCACAAGGAGCGAGGAGAAAGGCAGCCGCATGCAGCCCCATGCAGCCCCATGCAGCCCCGTGCAGCCCCGTGCAGCCCCGTGCAGCCCCGTGCAGCCCCGTGCAGCCCCGTGCAGCCCCGTGCAGCCCCGTGCAGCCCCGTGCAGTGCCGCACCTGGCTGCACACGCCCAAGCACCAAGTCCTCATGTCAGGAATATGCTGGTGAAGACGGACATCTGTAGAGAAAGCCCCCTCAGCGCACCACGCGACCACCGCGGCTGCAAGCGCCTGCAGGCCCACTCACACACTATGCAGGCTCCATCGGTCCACCCGCAATCACCTCCCTGCCAGAACCTGCCTGCAGCCGCGAGCGCATGTGACGAAAGCATGGTTGCATCGCTAAGCCTATCTACACTGTGTGGTTTCTGTGTGGTTTTTGTGTGTTGGCTTAGCAGAGTGTGTGCGTTTGCGTGATGTTGCCTGTAGAGCATGTTCTGGGAATTCTGGTAGTCTGTGAGCCCTTTTGCTTCAAACTCAGTGCCTTGAAAGAGGCCAAGCGGCTGTCCAGCTGGCTTCCCGCTCGATGCAGCATCTCCGGCATGATTTCAGAGATTGCACAGGACGTTCTTCAGCATTAGGGTTTAGGGTTTAGGGTTTAGGGTTTAGGGTTTAGGG